CTTGGCCCAGTGTGAAACTTTAGATGGTGAGTGACAATTAGGCATTCTAACGCCTCTCTCTTACAATACCTTCTGTATAACCCATCGTCGACATCAAAATATAATGCATCCATTTTTATAAATAACTAAATCAAGATTGGTTTTTATGACACGATATTTGCAAATCAAACCAAATAAAGAAAGTCACATTTAATTACACATTTATTATTATTATGTATTGTGTATTATTATTGTTTGTGTTGAAAGATTGAAGATTTAAGGATGTTGTCATTCCAGTAGTACAGTATAGTTTTTTAATGCTAACCACTTTCAAAATTTTATTTTTTTCAACATATAAATAGTAAGTTCTAAATATTTTTTTACATTCTTTTTCTCCTAGTATCTGAATTAATTTTGAGATATTGAAAGCGATTTTTTGCCTAGAAGACATTTTAGCAATATTTTTAAATAAATTTAACTCGGATGGAATTCATTAATTATACACTTTCTTTAAATTATTAAAATTTAAATCATCTGTTGACAATTTTTCTTTCTATTAATTATACATATAAACTTTTAAAACTATTTTTTTATTAAATACAAAAATGAGTAAAAAACATCTAATAACACAAGATCCCAAAAAATTGAGAAAACTACATGAATTTGCAATAAGAGGTATTTAATAATTTTAATACAATTAATTAATTAAAACATTTAATAACTAAGAATTTTTTAATTAAAGGCGGAATTGGTAAAGGTATTGCCATTCATGATACGTTGGCAGATACTGAGGATGATTTGATGTTTTTCACTGGTAATTGAATAATAATAAAAATAAAATGATAAATAAAATCAACATTTTGTTGAATAAACTTTTCATAATATAATTAGGAGATACGGTTACAATTTTAAAACATATCAAAGATGAATATTTTCTTGTAAGTTTTTTGTGGGATTTTTGAAATATTGTTTATTTAATTGTTTAGCTAAATAAATAATTTTTTATTAATATTAATTGACAAATTCAGGGATATTGTGAAGGTGTTATTGGGAAATTTAAAGGCAGTGCAATCAAATTTAATGGTCCTCTGAAGGATCTTAAATCATTAAAATTGGAGCGAAATAAAAATCTTAACACACCACTTTCAGATAATAATAATAATAATAATAACGCCATTAGCCATTTACCAGATTCACCTAAAAGACAAAGCAATTTTCTTCTTCCTTCTGATGCAATTCAAAATCATCAAAACCCAATCATAATAGCCAACCCG